ATATATATATATATATATATATATATATACCACAGTGCTGCATATTTTCACCTTCAGGATACAGCACAATTTTATAAAGGTAGCAAGTATCAGTTAGTGACCTCAGAAGTAAATGCATCAAGAAAAAACAAAAGAATGATGTCTGCTCTAATTCTTAGTGATTAGGGTCATGGCATCCTCAAAAAAGGGTTAAATTGAAGACAAAGGGAATTTTGTTTCAGAAAACGTTTCAAAACGCCCATCCAGAGTTGGATGTGTGTGTGTTCAAAAGTATACGTGTAATAGAGTTGATAGTGACAGATTATTGGCCTCTGCAGTTACTTACTGTAAGCAAAGCCTTAAGAAACAAACCTTATGGCAATGATTAAAAACAGGAGTAATTGTCTGCAGAGCTGTACTAAGTTTAGCTGATCCATGCTGTCAAAGTTTTAATCATCAGCTATTCACATATATCCTTCTTTGGCTTTGGAATGCAGATGATCCACAAAGTCCTCAAAGGACAAATTATGGAAACAGCTGCAATTAGTGTCTGATTTATATATTGTGGTAGAACCTTAGAGACTAATTAAAGGCCTTTGTGTTCCTGTCTATTGGAGACATGCTAATTTAAAGCCTTTTGACTGTGATTCACGAGGAACAAAATCTGAAATTTATGCATCTCAATTTGTGCACGCCCACCGCAATAATGAACACTCAGTGTAGTTGTTTAAATGGGACATAGTAAACATCAAATCTCTGCATCATTAGACCAGAATCTCCTATGATGCTAAAAGGAACAGCTTGTCCTTTATTTGATGGAGTTGCAGGAGGTCTATTGCATAAAGCCTTGCTATTGTGCTTATGGCAGATTTCTGGAGAAAGGCAAAGCAAATTATCTGCAGGATTTTCCTCCCAAGAAGCAGATTTCTTAGTGTTTATTAAATTTTTTAGAGTGCTTCTGAGCAATGCACATTTTTTCCTCTTAACAGTCAAATTACTATATACTTCAGCAATTACTTAATGTACTCTAATGAGATTTCCTTCTCGAAATGGAAGGATTCATTTATTTTAATGTGACGCAATCCACTGGGCAGGTTTATACATCACGTCCCCCTTGCGATCCAGAGGAGGCTTTGAGTCATAAATAGTAAGATGAGCTTGGCTTCCAGGTTTGCCATTTCCCCCACAGCAACAGAGGTATATGATTTTGCGATCCAGGCACAGAGGATCTGTTCAGGGGCATCAGCAGGTCACTTTCCCCATGTTCAGGCTTAGCTTGCTGCAACCAGGTATTTTCTAGGATTAGTGAAATAATACCACGCTGACAAGCGGTGTTTATGTCATGGACCAAGGAAGTGCAAAATCCAAAACACCACTAAGACACAAAGATTAAGTAAATGTTTTGCCTCTCTCTGCAAAGTAAACATCATTGTTTATAGTCCTAAAGCATCCAGCCAAATTACAGGGCAGTTAAAAGTCAGACAAGTGTTTAACCTTTGTATATTGCTTTAAACTGAAATGAAGGATATGAGATTCTTGATGGATTATAAAACTGATAACACTTTACTATTACTGTACAAAAGGCGAACATTTTTCCAACAGATAAAAATATATTATTCGAGTATATGCTAATTCAATGTGTCTGCCGTATTCTACTGGTGTGGTGTTTGTAGCTTGAAAACTATTATTGAGAAACTGTTTGATCGACATAAGCGTACAATATGCACTTAACTCCTTTCAATCTATTTTATGAGATGTTAGTAATGTTTTAAACATCCATATTTGTTTTTTTTCTTTTTTTCCTGTAATCTAAAAACAAACAAACAGTTATAGCCTTTTATCAGCCAGCTGACTGGCAGTTCCCTGAAGTAATCTGGTGTCGGTGTCTCTAATTGTGTAGAGATTCTTTCATGCTTACAGCAATGATTGGTGAAAACCCCAAAGCCATTTGCATTTATTCCTTATAAAAAAAAAGTTATGACAATTTCAGTTATGTTTAAAATCATCCTTCAAGAGCCTTGTCCTGCTCTTTTTTTTTATTTCTGTCCCTCCTCTTAGTCAAATACTAGGTAATTATCAGGTCTCTGCACACTTTGATAGGGTGCTGATAGGTTTATGTGAAAAATCTGATCATCTTGAGACTGAGTGGGGACACTGGCCTTACTGTAGATGATAGAAGCTAAATATAGCTGCACTAGATAATGAAAGCTAGTGGTCACAAAATATTACCCCGGACAAAAAGAAATGAAAATATATATGAGGTATTAAAACAAATGCTTTATATAAAACTGATCTCTTCTGGTAACGACCACTGTATTTTGGGAGCACACAATAAGAACCACAGCTGTAATTGTGCTCCATAACAGTTGTCTAGAAACATAATTTTGTCCTTGTCAAACTCAGTCAAAGCTTTATGCCTGCCCATATTTTCTCCTGTCACCTCATCATTTAGGAGAGGAGTGTTTATTTGTTATAATTATGTGGCATATGAATCACTTCCCTTGTGTTATGCTATATACAATCGGTGTACACTTTCATGACTAAATCCCTATTGCACTGAATGGATGCAAACCTGGGAACAAAAAAAAAATCACTTATACTGATCCGTTTATTTAGAACCTTTTAAAAACGTGCTAATAAACCTTTATGGTACTTTTGCTGCCTTTGCTTCCACTCAAAAGATTGGTTCCAAAACAGTATACCTTGTAGCCCCCATTACTTCCTCTGTGCATAGGGAAGGTAAAAATGATGGATACTGTCATAAAATGTACAAAATGTGAAAATATAAATAAGGCTACATTACTAGTGTGCATGTTAAAGACAGTACTTAGGATTCTTACTTCAGTGTTATATTTTTGAAATCCACAGCTTTTAATCTGATAATTCCAAGACTGAAGAGCAAAAGAGCTCTAGTTAAATTTGACCCTTGGGTAAAAAGGAAAATGGCAAAGTGCTCATTTAAGAGGTTTTAGTAATATAGATTAAGTTTGGATTCCCTTTCAAGCTAAAATTAACTCTCTCAGTAGAACTTCTTTGTCTTATGAAATGTGCAACCATCAAAATATATATGGCTTCAGTAAATAAATGTAGTCACGGAAATATACAGCTTCTGGGTTTTCTGGGATATCTTTATATTTACCTGCTAATTATTGTATTTATACCTAGTCACTCCCTTTTACACCCTAAAAAAAGTATTTTATATATATATATATATATATATTTATATATATATATATATATATATATACATATATATATGTATGTATATTTATATATAGTCTGACACTTTAACATGTGGAAAAGTTTTGAAAGAATGTCTTATTAGTAAACCTGGGAACAGACATTTAGTTGCCGATAAGAAGTGAAGTGGAATTTATTCCAGTTAACTTTGGTGATAGAAGACGAGCAGAGACATTTTCCTTTCTGACAGAGAGGGATAATTTGATAAGAGTGGAGGTTGAGGAGCGAGGCTCTCTCCGTAAACTGATCTTGCTGCAAACGTCTTTTCGAAGCTGTCTAAGCTGTCTTCTTAGTCTGTTGCCGAGTCACATGGGGACTTTGCTGCCTTCTGTTTGACAGAAGATGTTACATTGGTTATCTCACCAATTACATACTGGCATTTGAACTTCAAATATTTAAGTTTTAAACAGAGTAGTATGTTAAATTGGGATTCAAAAATGTCACAAAAATATAATGTATTCAATATGTAGTAATTGTACACATAGAGGAAACTTTAGTAAACCTGCATATATACCTGAATCCCCTCTATCATCTGTTACAAAACATGTTTTTGGGCAATAAATGATAGATTTGTGGATTTATTAATGCATCAAGACAGCATCCACTGTTATTTTAAAATATATAACATATACACTTTATCCATCCCATGGCGGACTTGCCATTTAATTACTTTCTAGAAATAACAAATAGACTAAATCTGTATTTCTAATAGATAACAGAGAGGGGTTGTCCATTATGCCTCAGCACCATGGAAGAGGTGGAAGTGACTCTATGAACTTAATTATTTTTTGCGACTGAGAAAAATCTACAGATGATGGAGACTGATTTTTTATATCTGAGACCTCGTTCACACAATTAGGATGTCCAAGATATCCTAGAGAAACTGAAAACATTGTTGTTTTCTTCAAAATTGTGGCGTTACCGAGTAGCTTGATTAGCAGCATTTATCTAAAAATCCGAAAGGTTTTTGGTTTATCATCAATTTACCCAGAAAATAAAGAAAATAGGTCATAACATTAAGTCCAATGACGACTGGATACAGTACATAGTGCAGTAGTTTCTTATTTATAAATGATCTATGTATATGCATATATATATATATATATATATATATATATATTATTTGACCATATTTATGGATCAGCTAGAGAAAACCCAAGAAATATTTCAAATGCTAAAAAATGTTTTCCCCCTCTATCTATACTCTGTACGGTGTCAAGCTGATAGTCTGACAAACACCACAGTCTGAAGCAACACTTTGCTTTGATGTTGATATAGACATGTTTTATAAGTTTTGAGCAGTAGTCCACACCATCTTAAAAAGGAAAAAAAAGAAGCTTTTCTTTGAATTTTATGCAAAAGAACAGTAGTGAAGTCCAGTTATCTGCTCTACCAATGTGGTATTCAGGTGATATGAAAGGATATCCTAATGGAGAGACAAGAGCTTAAGATATTCTGCTGCTCTCATGGAGTGGACATGCAAGCAAAAGCACATTTAAACACACACACACACTCCTTAAATCCATTACGGCGTCAGACTTCAAAGCTCATATTGGTTCTTTTTTAGTATTCCCTGAAAATGGAGAGGGTTGCTGAATGTTTGCAGAGCAAATTCAATACCTCATGTAATGTGCACTGCTATTCCTAAGTGCAAATATCTTCCGATATTTTCCTCTCTTGGAGTATCCAAAATTATGCCTGTGTGTCTTTTTTGGCCTGTGTTTATGTTTGAGAGCACGTTCTCATGGCCGCCTTGGGTGTCTTTGTCTTTTGTTTTTCAGGTGGGATTTTCGAACAAACAGACGGACCTGTTTCACTTGTTAGCGCAGAAGAACTTGCCTTTAAATTTGCTGTGAATAATATAAACAGAAACAGGACTTTGTTGCCAAACACAACATTAACATACGACATACAGAGGATAAATATCTATGACAGCTTTGAGGCATCAAGAAAAGGTAAGTAAAATACTCTGATATGATAATAAAATAAATCCTTACAGGAATCAGATTACTCTTGCACACAAAGGTGCATCTTGGGGAATACGAATAAAAATATTTTTACTCGGTTAGGATTCTTTTACTTTAAATACTGCATTGTCAAGTAAAACATAATTTACTCTGAAAAGAGAAATTTAGCAAAAGTTCAAATATTTTTTTTTTTATGATCCTGTGTAAGTTTCATCAAACTGCTCTTTTTCAGGACCAGCATAAGACACAACATGTGACATATCCTGGATATGTATTTTTGTTGTTGCTCTGGAAGTACTGAATTTAGCCATAAATTACTCTAAGCCTCAGGAATCTCTCTAAAAGTCTTGAAGTGACTTTACTTTGGAATCTTTTCAGGCCTGTAGCCATTCCATTTTGCTAAGACACTTTTTTTCTACCAAACTTCTTCCATTCACTTAAAGGTATTGTGGAGGATTGTTGCAAATTTTTGAAAAGATCCTCCCTCTCCACTTTAAAACAAAATGCACATGCACAACCCTGTACCTGCTCCCGAGAGGGAACTTCTATTAAAAGTGTGTGAGAGCAGTGCATAAGCCCATTTCTCTTTGTAAATTTTCAACTAAGTCAGACTAACCACTGGTAAGTGAAAATGGGGATGAGCACGTAGGATGGCCTTACATAAACATTTCACCAGAATGATTGACAATTAGGAGGACCACTTATTTTGATGATCCACCTGGAAAAAGAACATCCTCCATTATACCTTTAACTTCCTGGTAACATGCAGCTCTTAGGCCTGTCATTTATGCACATTTTTCTAATGTTAAATATCAATATTTACTTCCACTAAACTGTCAATTAACCCGTTTTGACATAACTGTTGTTGT